ATCAATATCTCGACGTTTTGAAAGTTTGAGTTTATAATTATATGTAACATATATTCGCCGGATGGAATCCGTAACTCTTGTTAGAGGGGCAAATGTTTCCTTCGGCATTTTTCGATATTTGGAATAATCTAAGACCTTACTACTTCCTTAAAAAAATTATGACATAATTATATTTATGGTTCGATTTCAAGAATGAATTTGATTTGTGAAACCAACAATCACTACAAAATTGAAGTGTAATATTGAAAAGTGAAGAAAATAATAGACGGATATTTGACTTCCAATAACATCTAGAAGGAAAATCTTGATTAGTCAGAGACAGAGAGTTAAAAAAACTAAAAGAATTTTCAGTCATATATCTCATCTGCCATCTTCATGCTTGTATCATCATTTATCTAACCATTTACTTTGTTGGCTCTTTCTAATTGTCATTTTCAAAATAAGCTATTACATTTCCAAAACCAATGTCACATGAATCATATCCCTCAACAATATTTTCGTACACATATCTAGATACATCCTTATATAATCTCCCGGAGTCTGGAATAATGCTATGTGCATTACATGAGTGTGGATACCTGCGACAAAAGGATTTAATGAGGGTATCTATCAATCTCCTGGTTTATTTTGCAACTTTCAAGCTCCTTCTTGCTTATAGTTTCTCTACTTGAATTATTATTAGTTCATTTTACAAGTGTTTATCGATCGTACTAGTAACCTCATGCTCGTTTTTAGCACGGAAAGACAATAACTTGAATCCAAAAGTTCTTAATGCACCGTCTCTTCCCCGAAAAAACTTCAATTGGCTATTGATTTTCACATTGTGATTTTTAATCGATCAATGAGTCAATTGTAGATTTCAATTTCACCAAAATCATTGGACGTACAACAAACTGATATACTAACATTATATGCACCATTATGAGCCCCCCTTTTTCCCACTAATTGTGTCCAAGAATGAAGTAACGCTCCATTGATACTACTTGTCTTGAAAATGGTTTCTTATTTAACATTCAGAATGAGTCATGCTACTCTTACACCGCGATTGTGGGCCCCACCCCCATGTGAGGGGGATGTGTACAAGATTGTGTACAAATGATGTGCACTTATCATTAGTGCATTCAGAATTTATCATTTTTAGTTGGGATAATATGCCCAACTTTTAAAAATAACACCTGACATCCCTAACGTTTGAGGAAAAAGGCATCCAACCGTTAAAGGTCAAATAAAAAAATAAAATTGCTTTCCCTTTAAATTTAAAAAAAAAATCAAAAGAAAAAAATGAATTGAAAATACCATAATTACCCAAAAAATAACCAAAACGGCTATGTCCTCTTCTTCCTTCATCCCAACGACCCGTCCTAAAACCAGCACCACAACCACTATGTCCACCTACCACTTTTCTACCAATTTTATGGATGGGGGAGAATGGGGGATGGGGAAAAACCTTATTTCCTATCACTTTTATGGCGGGGAAAGAGTGTTAAGTGAGGCGAGCTGCGAGCCTGACTAGAGCTTGAATTGGAAATTTTAATTGGAAGCACAAATTATATATATACACACACACACACACACACACACACACTATGACCCCCCAAAATCAGAGGCTCCAGGTCAGTACTCCATGTGGACTGCCACGTACACAGGATATCCACATGGACTTCCAACCATTCCTTATAATCAAGCGAAAGCAGAGCCAGTTGAAAAGTCAACCGGGGGTTCAACAAGGTCAAGGACGACGGAGGAGGCCATTGTCCGAAGACGTGCAGTGCCGAAGCTGTGTTTATGAGATGTCCCCTTCAGCTCAAATATTGAAAGTCTACTTAAAGCCCTTCCAAGTGATGCAGAGGCTCTTCACGTCCGAAGTACTGAAGCACCGAAGTTCAACTGCATCAGATGTCCATAAGTTCGAATCTGACCTCAACACCCTAATGCCGACGCTGTCCCCCAACAGATTGGAAGATTCTCATA